GCTCGGGGGTTCTTCTCGGGGGGGCCATGGGATTGGAGACTGGAGGAAGAAGAAAGCAGGGAAATGGTGGCTAGGCGGGAGCGGGAGCGGGAGCGCTGAAGGGGAATGATTTACTTCTTTCGCTCGGAAAGCAGGTTTCTTGTTGTCTGCAGAGACCATACCTTTGCATTAATTGTGATTCTTTGCTGCGAAGAAGCCATGTTCTGCAAACTCAATCTGCTAATCTGCTAGAAAGAAAGGTGCATTGTATTAATTGCTAGATAAACATTGTTAGGTATTGTTTGTGGTCAACGGCAATTTGTCATGAAGAAATATATTTTTAATAAGAAGGTTTTCTTAAAGATTTGTTGATGAAAATCCATTGTTATGGGGAATGGTGGCCAGTGGAATGTAAAAATGTTTAAATTTTAGTTTAGCAAAAAATAATCTTGATCTAATTGCATAAGTATTTTTTTTTTCATGAATGTTTATTTTTTTTAAATTTCTTCCTGTGAAATTAAATTCAACCGGTGTTGGATGAACTTTCCTTTTATATCTCATTTTATGAAGTTTAATTGCGTGTGATGTGTGCAGGAAGATTTTCGGTGGTGGAGTGATTATTTAGAGTCTTAGCGCTGCATGAAAATCAAGCACATACTTGGGTAATTAATGTGACAGGTAGAGAGACAATGAGTTTTTATGTGAAAAATCATTGAAAGGAAAAAAGTTATGGGACTTAGCTTATTTAAAGTAATCCACTTTATATTTGTGAGTATGCAGACCCAATCTTCTCTTGAGTTAGAAAAAGATAAAATTATAACGCTGATATACAAGAGTAGTTTAGCAATTAATGGACAACAAATATTATAGTCAATTGTTATAAAGACAGTAGTTCGCCATGAATGTTATAGACAATTGTTGTAGCACTAGTTTGTCGGATAAAATTACAATGCTGATATACAAAAGTAGTTTATCAATAATAATCTTAATGGACAATTGTTATAAAGACAGTAGTTCGCCATAAATGTTATAGACAATTGTTGTAGCACTAGTTTGTCGTAGGGACTGTAGTTGAAAGTCATGGTAATAGTTGGTCATGTGGGTCGTAGATGGTTGTTTCAAGACTAATTATTAGTCATAAAAGTTGTAGTAAGGAGTTGCAATAATGTTTGAAGGATGTAGAAGCTGAAGTTGGGAGCTGTGTGAGTTATGAGCCGCATAGATTGTAGTTGGTCTTATAGGCCGTAATAAGGAGCTGCAATAATGTATGTAGATCACAGAGGTTAGAGTTAGGAGCTGTATGAATTATGATAACGTCCGTAAGATGTAGTGATCGTTGGGAGCTGTGTGTGCTGTGATAACTTAAGTAGGTAGCATAGGACTAGGGCTATCAAAACGACTCGTTGTTCACGAACAGCTCGTGTTCGGTTTGCTAAAAAGCTTGTGTTCGGCTCGTTCGCTAAGTTAACGAGCCGAACACGAACAAAGATTTGTTC